TTTTATCGAGAGTTTTCTTAGGTGACTTCGGTCATTTAAGATGTAATTAACTATAGGGGTTTGCCCTTATAGGGAGCTTTTCCGAACCCAGCTTAAAATAAACCCTATTTAATTTTTTGTATTAAATAGGGGAACTTGTCGGCAAATAAAACGGTTTCGCAGACCCAAACGGATGTCATATCTTTCTTAGTTTATTTGATCGAGCCTCACCCTCAAGTCTTGTGTTTATCCCTTGGGGTAGATACATGATTTGAGGTTGAGTGCTCTTTCATTTAAACTATGGAAAATATGAGGTCAGTTTGATTTCATATTTTTCTAAAATTATATATATATACGTATATTAAAAAGTCCTTCCGAAGCGGGCGACGGGATTTCGATTCCGGCGACCGACAGCTTCTTACGGGCGACCCCCAAACATTTAAAAAACTCTCTTTTCCCCCTTTTAAGCGCCGACATTGCTCATGTTATTTTTGTTCGAGGGATGATGCTTTACATTTTTTGCTTTCTAGTTCTTCTTGTTTATATTAACTCCTTCACTTTTCATGCTGTTTCTTAATGGTTGGGCTTTATCCCTTTTTCAATTCGATTTGGCGCTTTGGCTTTGAATAAACAGCTTATATTTATTTTTGATGTAGATTCTATGCATACCAGACATTAGAAGGATTTGATTTATTGCCCTTCCTATCTTATGTTTTCCTATTTGCTGCCCTTCCTATTTTTTGTTTTCCTTTTATCTCCAAGTAATTATTAGGAATTATTTTCTTTTCTTTTCTTTAATTTCCTTTTCATGTTTTTCGTCTTTGAGAACTCATGTAAGGTGTATTTATATCCCCTTTTTTTAAAGTTGTATTTTGTATTAATGAATCAAAATTTGTAAAAAATATGCAAGCATGCACCTATGATGTACAAAAGTGAGATCTATCATCTATAAGTATAGTAAAGAGCTCCCTATGATCGTCTATATGCATTAAAACAAAAGTCCTATCAAAGGCACGCTTAGCACAAAAATGAGTGGCTCTATTACAACCCGAGCAATATGAAAAAATAAGACTTGTTTAAAGTTAGAAAGAAAAGCTAGATCTGGATCTTCATGGTGTTGACAAGTATCATTCTTCAAGATGGATCTAAAAAAGTTTAGAACGTTGACATTATCGCCTTCAATGATAATGCCCTTAGCCACGAACATCCAAGGGACACAGATATTGCGAAATGATACTTGGGCACTATCCCAATGCAGTAAGCTCCGTCCCACTGCAACAAGGCCCTTTTCTATTTCATCTTAAATAACAATGCCGGTCCCAACTATCCCTGAGGGTGGCAAAGCTGCATCAGCGTTAGCTTCAAGCCACTCAATTGGGGGAGAATGCCAACTCTCACTTTACGCACAAAGGTGTGTTCTCATCTTCTTCCTTTCTTCTTTGCGGCTCACCTCCACCTTCCATGCACGCGGGTCCGCTTCTCCTTCACACGGTGGCAACACTCGAAACTTTTTTGGCTTCGGCTTCTCTCCCTCTCGACAGAGTCACACAATCCTTCCTTCGGCTTCTTTTTTTCCTTTGAGCACGAGACTTCCTTTTGCACCGTAACAGTAAATAAGTGTTTCCTGTTCTCCTTCACACGAGATGTCTCCTTCTTTGCTCTAAACATACGGAGGACCTTCTTGTATCTCGTGTCATTGCACTCTCAGTGGCTTCGTCGTTGCATGTAGGAAGCGCCACACCTCTTCTTTCTGCACGATCCTTGCTTCTTCTTGCTAGACTCTGGCGTCAGTAGCAAGGTCTGAGATGTACACATCCTTCTTTTTCTATTTCTTCTTTCTCATTTTCTGTTCTCTCTGTCGTTCTCCTCGTTTCGGCTCTCACTGCTTATGTTTCGTGTGGATCGAATAGCCATGCCACTGTTATGGCGTATCAAAAAATGTACTTATTCGTTATGTCCATTCAATTTGTATTATTATTATTACTATTATTATTTCAATTATTACAGTACCGAGCATGTGGAGATTGACCGTCACTTTGTTAAGGAGAAACTTGATTCCTGTAAATTTATGTTTCGTTTGTTGAATCTAATGGAGAGTAGATGTTTTAGATTCAATGCGAAATGAATATATCCGTGACGAGGTTGGTGTAGCTCCTGTGACGGACAAAATTATCGAAAGTCGTCTTAGATGGTTTGGTCACATTAAGCGTCGACCATCTGATAAATCCGATGCGGAGAGTGGATGTTTTAGATTCTAATTATGTTAAGAAAGACAGAGGTAGACCTAGGAAGACTTGGACACCTAAGAGGTAGACCTAGGAAGACTTGGACTTATTGTATAAAAAAATGATCTTAATTTATTAGAACTAAATGAAAATATGACACTAAATAAGACGCAATGGAGATAAAGGATTCCTGTAGCCGACCCTACGTTGTGGGATTAAGGCTTTGTTGTTGTTTTTTTTGTTGAATCTATTGAACAATTGACTAATGTTCTCACAAAGGATTTTCATCGGCCTTTGTATGATGACTTCAAATCCAAGTTGAAAATGATTGACATCTATGCTTCAACTCATCCACGGTACTGTAGCTGCTACAGTACAGCGGGCAGTAAGCTCCCGGGTCACTGCCCTTCCTATTTTATGCTTTCCTTTTATCTTCAAATAATTATTAAAAATTATATCTTTTCCTTACCTGTAATTTCGTTATTCATGTTTCTCTTATTTAAGTTGTATTCCCTTTTCTTATCAATAAAGTATTCCGCTAAATTCCAAATTTCTACACTAGAGATGATCAATAATCATTTGAGCACTTCTTTTCATGTGATTATGTTATTTTTCAGGTCCCCTCGTTTCTGTACTAACTTGTGTATTTAATGTTTTTGTCCAAAACCCACCCCAGTATTACAGTCAATGGATCAAGCTGCTCGGAAGGACTTGACACCACTAACATTGAGGGAACTTGCTGCCAAATTTGCAAAAGAAACCGTTGATGTTCAAATGAAGTCTTTTAAGGTTTTAACTCATCCTTCTGTCTCATTCCTTTTTTCTCTTTGTTTCAAAGTCCTGTAAGGTGTTGGCTCATAGTCGTCTGGTTTTATTTTTTTTTTCAAGGTTATTAGATACAAGATCTGTGTTTTTGGCTTTTTAGCTTGACATTTTTAGTTCTTTTCTCATCTAGTTAGTGCTTACCTCTAGCTTTTAAATACGACTTTGCAGCGTTATGGGGTGTGGGCAGACTGGAGTGATCCTTATTTAACACTTTTTCCAGAATATGAAGCTGCACAGGTTCGTTGCTGAATTCACGAGGATCTGGAGTAATTTCTTGCACCCTTAAACTACGAGCTTGATATTTCTTTATTTTTTTATTGCTTTAGTTTGTTTCTCTCTTATAGCTTTCTTTAGATGTATTTCATATTGCTTAAACTGGCCAATAAGTTCAGTTTTGTTTCCGTTTTAATAATGGGATATAACAAGCCAGAACCACAGAGTAGTCGTCCAGAACTTTTGTGTTTGAGAAATTTGCATACATACCACACATTTCTTATGTATTTACATATCTAAGCTCAAAGTTTGATATTTACATTTACAACGTATTGGCGTCATAAACCTTATGTTGGCCTTTAAAAGAGAAGCATAAAACAATGTTATGTGTTGCTTAGATGAGAATGCTTAGGTGGATGAGTTGCTTAACACTTAGAGACAAAATGCGAAATGAATATATCCGTGATTGGATTGCTGTAGCTCCAGTGGCGGAGTAGATTAGAGAGTCGTTTTAGATGGTTTAGTCACATTATACACCGACCATCTGATGATCCTGTTAGGAGAGTAAATATTTTAGACTCGATTTATGTTAAGAAAGACATATGTCGACCTAAAAAGACTTGGGCAAATTGTATAAAAACTGACATTATTCAAACTGATCTTATTCTATTATAATTAAATAAAACTATGACACTCAATAGGATGCAATGGAAAAAAAAGGATTCATGTAGCTGACCCCACTTAGTTGGATAAAGGTTTGTTGTTGTTGTTGTTGGTGGTGGTGTCATAAATGTGTGCATGAAATGTGTATTTTGCTTTTAAAAAGATAGTGATGGTGACATTTTTGATGTGATATTAAATATTTGAGTGGTATTCATGTAAATATGAGTGTTCAGGTGTTAGATATGTAGATACATAAGAATTGAGTGTAATGTATGTAAAAGCCCCGGAGTTTTTATTTTAATTGCAGATTAGCAGTCCATCGTTGTCTTATTGTCGCAACAGTTTTTTCGATCTTTTTGTAATTCAACTCATGACTTGAACTTTTTTGATTTATGTGAAGCCTATTCCTCAATTTTATGTTTTCTATGCATTTAGGTTGAAACTTGATAAATGAAAACACTGTTTTTTCCACTTGTTTTCTATGTTAGATAGAAGTATTTGGTCAGATGGCTACTAAAGGATACATCTATAGAGGTCGGAAGCCTGTCCATTGGAGCCCATCCTCCCATACGGCGCTTGCTGAGGCAGAGCTAGAGGTAAATTTTAAAGTGAAGCGTGTTTCTGATCATGATGCTCGTTAATTCTGAAATATGACCGATCACTGGGCATTTTTTCTGTCATACCATTGCCAAGTAAATAAAAGAAAAGCAGTGTCCTCACTCTCTTTATGTGCTGAAATATCTTGTATTTGCTCAGCATGAACTAGTTTAAATTTCTCTAGTTTTTTTGCAGAATTGATTATTAGAGTTGTTATTATTAGTAGTTTTTATAGTGCTTGATATACAATTCGGAGTTGCTTATAAGATGCCATATTTGATTGATTTGATCAGTAAGTAACGTGCAGAGTGCTATATTGATATATGTTAATAACTTGTTTAGAGCTAACAATGGCTCATTTTGGCCAACACGTTTTTCTTTTATTTGGGAAAAATCTATTCAAAATGTTGCCGCTTGTGCTTTCATTCAAATAAAATGTTGACCTTTAATTGAAATATAAAGATTTAACAGTCCAAATTTTGTGAAAATTTGATTTACTCTTATTTTTTTGGATGAAATTTCTAATTTAACCTTGTTATTTATCCATCCGATCTATATTCTATTTTTCTTTTAAGGCCCAGATTTATCTTCCCTGTATCTACCGTGAATGAAATTAGCCTGCAGTCCAACAAAATTAATAGAAATTCATGTTCAGGTTATGATATTTCCATAATGAATGAAGTTAATCTCTCTTGTAATAAAATTATGATTCGTTATTATGATTCCGTCAAATAAACATCCCAATTTTTTTTCTTGATATCTGATTTTTTTTTCATGGAAATATTTTGAAGTATCATCATCTTACGAGACCTGCAAACAAAGTTTGGAGCTTCAATTTGGGTTGATGGGCCAGGTTTAATTCATGCCCAAAATTTTCCCAGCATGAATATCTTTAGCCAAAACTCGACCTGTTTATTAAACAGGTAGAAAATCCAAACACAAACTTCACCAAAATTGAACCTGACACAACATGGAAATATTTAGGATGTGACAAATTAGTATTTAGGATGTGACAAATTAGTGTGAACCCTATCCAAAATGAAAATGATTATCCGAATAAGATATGATAGCTTTGAAAAAAAATAATTTCATGAGTTTCCCATAAAAAAAAAATTGGACATGTAAGTTTTTTTGGTTGACTCGAATTCAAACTGATTTTTATTTTTTGAGTCACTTAAGCTAAGTTAAACCTGACTTAAATCTTACATTGGTTGGCCAACTGAGATTATTGTTGTTGGGTTTATGTCTAATTCATATCAAATTTTTACGTTAGCTCTAATATTCTCTACCTTAAGTAACTTGTGTTTCTTTATTCATCAATGTATTGCTCTTTTGTTAACCTCCAGTTTTTCTTTTATGTACAAATCTCATTTATTTAATTTTTTTAATATATGCCCTTGACATGCAGTGTTTATTGCTGTAAATTTAACTAAACAAGTGTTTGACATTGAATACTTATTAATATGTATTGCTTTATTCTTGCATGTCTGTTTATTTGTTTTATTTTCATTATGTTAATTTGCTAATATTTGATGACTTTCATTATAACAAAATTATAAGAAAAATTTTGAAGAATAGAACTATTCTACTTAGTGTAGGGTAAGTTAGCATTTGATAGACTAGACTACATTTGCATTATGTTTTTCTATTTCAATGTTCTTTAATAGAAACAAAAAGAATTTCAATATAAGATTTTTTTATTTTAACATGTGTGTTTTATGATAAGTTGTTATTAATGTTATGCAAGGTACCAATCAACAAAGAATATCTTGAAAAGCAATCATAAAATACATAAAAATATTTTAACTTAAATCAAAATAAAATGTTTCCTTAATTGTGGAGTTATAAATTCTGTATATACAAAAGGATTGGTTTTTTGCATGTTATCAGAGCATTCTTTTAAAATATGAACAATGAATCAAAATCTTTATATTTATATTCAAACAAAGAGAAGAAAAACTATGTATTTTGAAGCGTTAATATCTAAAAGTGCACATGCACACACATACACTCTTACTAGTATAATATACAGCAATTTGATTCTAATTCTGAAGTCATCTCTTTTGTTGGAAGATTCTAGTTCCGAGTCTCTGATTTACCATTTTACTGGTTAGACACTTAGGCTAATCTCTTCTTCTCTTAAGGTCGTGTATATGAGTCATTATTTTGTAAACTTTTCTATTTAGGTCATTATTGGCAAATCTCTTTCTAGGTGAATCTTGTTTCTTTCTTTAATTTATATAATGCTGTTTTTGTTACCTTGATAATCCTTTTATTGTGATGCTATTTTGCAGTATCCGGATGGCCATGTATCTAAGAGCATTTATGCTATTTTTAAGATGGTTAGCACGTCTTCTATTTCTCATGACGTTTTGAAAGAATTTCTTTCAAACCTGTGCTTAGCAATATGGACAACTACTCCTTGGACCATCCCAGCAAATGCTGGTAAGAGTTTCATGGTAATTTTTTGAGTCTCAGTATTGTTTACTATAATTAATTGTGGCTTTTCTGGTAATGCTGTTGATGGAGGAGCTTCTCTGATAGTGTTCTCCGTAGCATTAGAAGGGGCTGAGTTATGGCAGATATTGATATTCTGATTTCAATCACAAATCAAAATTGTTCTATTGCCTTTATTGTGACAGGAAATCTTGAAAATATGCTGTCACAAAAAAGTTTTTTCCCCTTCATAGTTTCTGTTATCTTCTATTTAGTTTACTTTTTTGCCTTTACTAAAAAAGACATTGTTTTGACCATCTGGTATGAAAGATACAATGATTTTTCCACTTTTGATTGAAGTCCTTATAATTCAATATTTTTGTCAACAAGGATAATTAGATCAACTATTAATTAATTCTTTTCCACAGAAAATTTTATTCTTCCTTTTTCATATCATTTCCCTAACCACCATAAGCGTCGAACCTTCTTTTACATGTCTTCATCAAAGCCCATTCTAGCACATTGGCTGTTTGAATTTTGGTTGAACCCTTTGGAAGAATCGTAGTTAGATCCTTCAGTAGGATCTCAGGAGTAATCCTGTTCCACGGGACTGCAGGCAACTTTTTTTTAATTTCGTTGACCAAAATATTATGGTTGACCAATAGAGGTTTTTTAGTTGGCTAATCTGTAGAAAACACTCTAATATTGGGAAAATCATTGGGTTTTCACCCAGCACACGCATTCATTCTTATGTTGCACCTAACTCTTGCTAGAAAACAATTAACAAAACAAAACATGGTTGTTCAAGGTATCTAATAGCCAAACCAACCAGAATAAATTGTTGGCTTTGTTCTTTGTTTTGAGTTTAATGAATTATACCAATGAATATGTACATATTATTTTCACATTAAATAGACCATCAATTTCTCTATTATAAAATATTCTATAGAGCTCATATATCTTCAGTATTCAGCCATGGAATAGCTTCAACCACGCACATAAAGTTATTATAACCATAAATCTATTCAAATTTAACAAAACTCCAAATAAACTTAAATTGCTTTCATTTTCAATCTTAAACGAACCCTCTGTTGACCTCGCTTTCGGTCGAGGTGTAGTTTTCCCCTCCCCAGTAGCCTAGGATCTAGCCGTAGGACCTTTCTGTCGACTACTCCTAGAAAACTAGTGAAGGAACCCTCCCCGTTAGTAGAAAACTAGTGAAGGAGCATTCCCCGTTAGTAATTCTAGACTTTTCTTCGCTCGACTTGACGTTCCATGTACTAGTCTTGACCGCTGTTGCTTAGCAGGTAAGACTACTCCGAAGGAACTCAGGGAGCATTCCTATAGGACTGTTGGCCTTAGGATTGACTCTACTCGTTGATTTGGCGCCGCTGCGCTCTTCGCCGTCCTGTTTAATCGAATTCGAGCCAAAATTTTGATAGGATTCGGACCGCGACGCGTTTTTGTCCCAATCGTTGACGAGGTTGCCCGGAGACGACTCCGGATGACGAAACGGACTGCACCGACGTGTCCGGAACGTCGATTTTGCGTAGGAGATACGTTTGTTTCGTCGCGAGGGCATTTCTGGAGAAGGAGAGGTGTTTAAGTATTATTTATAATAATAAATAATATTTTATTATTATTTATTGTAAATAAAACTTATAAACCTAATCTTAATTTCATTTCCCCTCTCCCGGCTGCCTCTCGCTCATGCCTCTGCCCTAAGCCTTGGTCCCTCACGTGACCCCATGAGCTCGAGACATTGGAACAAAGGTTCCCGCGCTCCCCTCTCTCGCAGTCGCCCATCCCGCCTCATCATTCGTTGGCTCCTCGAGCCGCAAACAGTATGGCCGAGCCCCCTGCACTCGATCTTTGCGGTTTTTTTTTTTCAATCATTTGCTTCTTCTTCCGTTAGCGTATATCAGAGCTCCTCTGTGAAGCTTCAAGGGGCCGAAAATTTGTTATGGGGAGAAATTTTCTCCGTCACTCTTCTTCCTTATTCTTTTTTTTTAAGTTTCTAGTGCTTCAATTGGGTTCTTCTCACTGTTGGGAGGAAAGTTTGGCTAGAGAACGTCTTTCTGTGATTTCACATTAAAGATGTACATTAGAGAACATCTTTCTGTTTTCGGCCCTGCCCTATGCTTTACCTGTTTTCGGCCCTGCCCTGCGCTTTACCTGTTTTCGGCCCTGCTTTGTGCCTTGCCTGTACTTGACTCCTCTGCTCTCTGCTCTGCTCTCTGCCGAGCCCCGTTAGCATGCTAGAATAGGAAGATTACTATTTGCCTCATTCCTAAACATGTTTTAACTTATTCTTTATACGTTTGTTATGTGGGAATGTCATTTAAAAGCTTGAGGGTGTGTATTTCCTTCTCCCTCCCTTTCTCTGTTCTTTACTGGCTCTCAGTTACAGCCTTGCCGAGCCTCTGATAATGATCTTGTAGTGTGGTGCTAGAATTTAGATTTGGTTAAGCAATGTGGCATGCTACTAATTATTTCTTTTACTTTGCTTATCTAAAGTGCTGAAGTCATGGCATGTTTCCTACTTTCTGAGGCATATTTACATTAGAAACAATTAAAAGGATGACCTCGAAATAATTTGGCCCCTCTCATGAGCATGTTAGTCTATGTATTGTGAAAATTTCATTCACTTTCACTAAAAGCATGTGATAGTTCTAGGTTGAATACCTTACAGACATGGGAATATTTTTCTAACCCTCATTGTGGCCAAACTTTTAAATCTCAATTGCAGTTGGACTTTTAAGCCTTTGCTGGGTTCGGGTTTTGGCCTTGCTTGACTCGGTTTGGTCTTTAACTAGTCTGAAATTTGGTGAAAAACTTGGTTTGACTTTGATTTTGTGTTGAATCTCAGTTTTTGCCTATTGGGGGTTCTTCCTTTTTCTTGTTTTGGTGGCTCGATTTCTTATTTTGGGAAGATTTGGGTGTTGGTTTTATTGAAGCTTGGCTTTTGCTTTGGTTAAAAGTATTATCTTAACACATTTAAGCTTCTCATTGGAACTTTAAGGAACTGGTTTTGGCTTAAGGAACTGGTTTTGGCTTTATGGTGAGTTCTGATTGTGCTTTATGAGAACCTGGCTTTAGTTTCTCTTGTTTGGGCTTAAACTGCTTGGATGATCGTGGCGAGAGAAAATGTGTCATTCTAAAGAGATTGATGGCATTTTATACTCTCTTTTACACTCTCTTGCG